GTATAAAAATTTAGTGCTTCGGACTTTTAATCCTCAGTAAAATGCTCATTTGATCTGAAGTTGATTGTATGTATTGTACTTTTGAGTTTTGGAAAGATGGCATGTTGTCCATTCTACACCCGAGTATAAAATTACACCCTCGAACATTCTCATTCGTGTGCTCGGTGTATTTATGTGAATTTTGCCTTAGAAAATTATTGTAAGTACTCTATGCATGAAGCCACATACAAATTATGTTGATTAAGCTTTCAGGTTCTTCAGGGTTATTTAGTGCAATGTTCTTGAATACTTCTTAGAGCATGCTTGGGTTGGGGGAGATGTATTACTAGAATAATAAAAGTCAAATTAAGCAAAATGAAAGTGAAAATAGGGAAGGAGGAGATAGTGATGGTGTGATTGTAAGGAAAATTATGTAGTGATGGTGAGGTATGAGGTGAAAAAAGAGGAACTAATACCCTCATTTTGGGGGTAATAGTTACCCTAGGGGGAGGGTGGGTAACTATTACTCTCATTATGAGGATAATAATTCCTCCATCTCTCTCTTTTCCTCATGGCACAATTACTTTATTTCATTTGTAAACACCATGCCTCCTACAACACCACCTCTAATTACTTATGTTTTTTCATGTTTGACTTTTATTACGCCCTTAATATATTACCCCCAATCCAAGCAAGGCCTTATAAGTAACAAGTCACCCTCATATCATGAGAATATGAGATCGGCTCATACAAGATTTTTTCCAAGGAGGTATTCATGTTGAAAGTGGAACAATTCTCCTAAAGGTTATTTTTGTGCTTAGTGCAGGTTTTTGATGATTGCTAGTTTTGATGATTAGTATCTCTCTAATCTTATTAAAAGTGATTGTTGCAATTGTTGTGTCTTCTGTCCTAGATTTGAAGTTTAACTTCAGAAAACCTGTTAACATGTGCAGAAACAAAAATGTGGGTAGATTCTGAGAACAACCGTGTCGAGTCTGGTCAGGAGCTATTTGGTTCTTTAGTTCATCAGGAAGCATATGCCCTCATATCCAGTTTAGCCCCTCCAGGGCTGGAATTCCAGCATACATCAGCTCCTAAATCTGAATACAATAGCTATCATGCTATAACTACTGATCAAAGGAACACCTGCTTAACGGAGCAAATGCAGTCTCCGGTTCAGGAAACACATTTATTAGAAGCACTCCAGCGTCCTGCACCACTCTGTCGACAATTCTGGAAAGCTGGAAGCTATGACAATGTCTCCTCACAGTCCTCAGCATCTTTGGCTCCAAGTTAGTCTTCTGTAGTTATATTCTTCAAGCTAAGGCCTTAAGAATTTTGTAAATTGAACTGTATATCTTAAGATATCTCTGATTGGAGATGTTGGGTGTATGCCACAGCAGTAGATATCGGCAATGTCATTTATATACTTGTCACTTGTTTTATGCTTTCACCAGTATCTACATTCAATGAGGTCTAATGAGTACCAATATGCCACAGCTGTAGATATCGGCAATGTCTTTCATATACTTGTCACTTGTTTTATGTTTTCGCCAGTTTCTACATTCAATGAGGTCTAATGAGTTTTGCTTTGCATTGTATAACTTTTCTTTTTTAATTTTTTGATTTTTTTTTTTTTTTTTTTTTTTTTTTTTTTTTTTGCAGACACCAAGATCCATATGCATGTTCACCCCAAGTTCCTTCACTCTAATGCTACTTCTCACAAGTGGGCTTTTGGAGGTGATGTCTGCTTAAAATTTTACCCACTTAGTCAAATGCTTTGTTTTTTCTCCTTTTCTTAAAGGTTGTCTATTGTCCATAAACAGTGTTAGTATTTGTTTCGTTATATCTTACTGCTATGGACTTTTTCATGCAGCTGTGGCGGAGCTTCTGGACAATGCAATTGATGAGGTGATTCAACTGACAATTTTAGTGCCACTACTGCTGATATATTAGCATTTTGTCCCCATTGCTTTTTTAAGTAAAATTTTGTGAGCTACTTGGAAGTTTTTGAACATTAAAGTGCTAAGGAATTTATGTGAAGAACTTTTATTAAAGGACCGTTGTAGCTATTTGAGCAAACGTCTATATGTTACAAGTCTGACTGTGCCTGTATATATGGTGGTAGAACTTAACTGCTTTTGACATTTGTTTGTACTTTCTGTGAAATCATTATAGTGTGAATATAAGTCAGCAATGGAACTCTAATTTTATATTCTGATGTTGTTTGTTTGCTCAAATATTTGACATGAGATATATCATGGTATTTGTTTAATCAAATAGATACAAAATGGAGCCACTTTTGTAATGGTAGATAAAATCTTTGATCCAAAAGATGGGAGTCCAGCATTGCTCATCCAAGGTAATTGGTTACTCCCACCTTCCCCCCCTCGCCCTCTCACACTTCATACTAAACAGTATTTACTGAAAGAGAAATTTCATGCCTCTGAGCTTGATACTTGTAGACGATGGAAGTGGTATGGACCCAAAAGCAATTCGGCGATGTATGAGTTTCGGATTCTCAGACAAGATGTCCAAAAATACCATTGGGCAATGTATGCTAAACTCAATTTTAATTATCAAGCTCTTTAATATTTCAATCTCTTCCTGTTTATTGAATTAGTTATATGGCTTTCAGATGGAAATGGGTTCAAGACCAGCACCATGAGACTTGGAGCAGATGCTATAGTCTTCAGTCGAAAAGTGAACAGTGGGTCTGTTATCATTGAATTTTAAATCTTTATAACTAAGAATTTCTTTGCTGAACATCTTAAACTGTACACTGTTGGTACTAATGTGTCTAACAATCTTGATGTGATTCATTAAGTATATATGTCAACATCTGTTTCCAAAGACTCATAGCTGTAGGTCTTTCTTATGTCTGACACGGAATATTCTGTGCCTTTAAGCTACTCTTATCTGTTTTGTATAAGTTTTATATCAACTACCTACCTGTTTTGTACCTTACCCATGCAATTGGCTTTTTAAATCCAAGTATAACCTAGTAAATGAGGCTCCCACTTAAGGTTGGATTTAGGAGGATCAGATCCATGATTTGACCTGGCTTGCTACTTCACGTTAAGTAAGAATAGAGATACATCTGCTTCAGCCACTATAATGTAGCACTACAAATTTACCATTGATGAACCTATGAGTTTGAAGAAAACAGCTACATACTCGAGTTTTTTTTTTAATCAATAAAGTTGCTTAAACTTTGGTTTTACTTAGTGCTGTTAAGAATAGCACGAATATTTGTATGTCATTCATAATAACTTTGCTTTTCAACCCTTCTCTATTGGTTATATATGTGCTTCTTTTTTGGATTCTATCTTCCATGCTCTGCGTTATGTCCAATACTTTGAATCTATTGCCCCATCCCTGGATTTACTGGGTTCTTCATAGTATATTATGAGATTCATTATGGGTGCAATTGCTTATTCAAAGGTTAATTATTCTTGGAATTTGTTTTGTATTCAGGATATTAACCCAAAGCGTTGGTCTGCTTTCATACACACTATTGTCTCGCACAGGGATGGGCAGAATAGTAGTACCTATGGTAAATATATGTCTTCTTTGTTATACTTGTTGACTGACGTGATTTTACTGAATCCTCCTGATGAAAATACCTTTGTCCAAACCACCATCTGAACTAATATCATTAAATGTTATTCTAGCTCGTCTAGATATCTGAATTACAGTGTAATTATTGTCCTTAATTCTTTGACATTGAGCATATGTTATTTTGTACATTGCTATGCTCTTTCTAATGGCTACTCTAATAGTGCCATTGGACATGTCATTACTGCAGATTGATTATGAGTACTCTTTGTCAACTGCAGCCTGGAAACCTCTGTATCGTGATGGTGGAGAGAATTTTCAATCAAATATCTCAATCATTTTGCAGTGGTCTCCATATTCAACTGAAGCCGAGCTTCTGAAGCAAGTATGCTCATACATATTCTGTAATGCCTTCTTTGTTTTTGTAGCTTGTTTGGTTTCCTAAAACGATGTTCAAGGGAAAGGAATGAAGGTAATCTAAGGGAAGAGAAACAAACTATGAAAACTAAACTTTTTCGTGAATTGCGTATTTCCAATTAGTCAAACTCAAGAAGAACCCTTTCTTTGGGAGCTTTTTAAAAGGAATTGAAATAAATTTATGTTGTTGGCCTTCTTTTAGTTAAAAAAAAGCCTACAGGTTGTGTGTTTATCAGGCTGTGTTTGTTCATCTATATTCAATGGTAGGTGCAAATCTAATATTTTGGTCAGATATGCAGTATGTTTGTTAAGATTTTTTGTTGGCTTTTAAAAATATTACAAGATAGGAAAGTAAAAGACTTTGTAATTGTGCTAGGTTATCTCAGTTGGAAGGATTAAGGCAAATTATGTTAATTTTCTATTCCATTGATATACTTTGTAGTGTTTCGAAGGTAACTCCTATATATAGGGGTTGATATGGTCATCGGTATGAGAAAGTACATGCAATATGCTAGCACTATTATGTAACAGTGCTTCAAAAGAGCTACACAAAAGTGAGAGTGATATACACCATAATAATGTTCTATGTGGGAGACACCTCATGAACTTCGAGGGGAGTTACTGATGGACATTGTGGATGGGGTATACTAATGTGGTTAATTTATAATATGGTTGGGGGAATTTATCCATGTTAAATGGAATTTGTTATTGTCATTTTATAATTGGTCTTCAATCTTGTACTCAATCCCTTAATAGTTGGATGAAACTCAATGTCTTTCTTTGCTAACAAATGATTTCTCGTGGATGACGTCTACGGGCCTAAATGAATAATAGATGAACTGCGTATGTCTTCTCCACGTCAAATGGAAACCATGTCACACCAGCAGCATAAATTTACCCACAACGTGATTGCCACTATAACCATGGATTTTATGTTTGAGACCAAGAATGCTTTTTTCTGCAAGCTTATGCACAAATTTTGGTTAATCACATTACAGGGGATGGAAGAGATTGAAATGCTTTTTCTATCTTCCTTTTTCTCTGTTTTTAGAGACCAAGAATGCTGTTTCTATTGTTGAATGTTCTTACTTGCTGAAGCAATCTAGTACTCTGCCTCTCTTATAAACTTCATTTGCTATTGTGTTGATGGCAGTTTGATGACATTGGATTTCATGGTACCAAAGTTATCATCTATAATTTGTGGTTTGCTGATGAAGGGAAGTTGGAATTGGATTTCAATAGTGACCCTGAGGTTAACTCTTTATTCCCTTCTTTTATTTCTTGATTAGGAATATTTTATCACTCCATTTCCAAACACATGTCATTTATGGTTAATGCATAAGATCAAAGATTTGATTTTATATTGCATTGGTATGGCCTATGGCTAAATTATACGTAATTTGCATCAAAAGTTAAGGAAAGAAAAGCATTACCAAAAAGCAATTTTAAGGGCAGGCATCATTTTTTGTGGATTATGAATTGACTGTTTTCGCCACAGGACATCCGCCTGAAAGGTTCAAACAATGCTCAGAAAAATTCAAAAAAGTTGTTAACAGAAGAGCACATTGCCAACCAATACCATTATTCTCTCCGGGTCAGTCTGAATATAATATGGATCTTATGAGTTAGAAGAAAAATTATGGTTACAACTTAAAGTCTTCTTTGCAGGTATACATGTCCATATTGTATTTGCAGCTCCCACAAAATTTTAGTATGATGTTGCGTGGAAAAGTTGTTGAGCATCATAGTATAGCACGTGATCTGAAATTCCCAGAATTCATCGTGTACAGACCTCATACTAAGGAGGTAAACTCATTTGCTTTTCTGTTTATATTATTCTTGATATGTAAGCATGCTCTCTCACTGCTAGTTGATATTGGAGTAAATCATCTTCTATCATGTCGATTTTTGTTACTTGCATTTGAACTTCCCGCATTATTTGGTGGCTTTTTTTGGTGTGTTGATGATTTTCTATAACATCTTAGACATTTGGGGTAATGTTGGCGTTGGTGAACATGTAGAAATAAATTGCTCTTAACTTTCTTCCTGACAACGGTTATTGAGATGTCCCATTTGGAAAGCTGTTTTCGTGGGGCTTCTCTTCCCAGAAGCAACTACTAGACTAGCGACCATGCATGTGCAGCATGTCACATCATGGGCTATATTCAATATATGGCACCTGAAGTAGTATAAAGAAACATATGTATTTAAGTCCCTCCTGTTAGAATTTTTTTGTTTTCATTTTCTGAGTTTTCAACACTTGTCATCATTATCAGTTGCAAACCTCAATGTCCACATGATTATAATACAGTTGACTATGATTCTGACTGAAATTCACAGGGCGATATTTTAACAACAATAGGCTTTCTGAAGGAAGCTCATAATGTCAATATCCATGGTTTCAATGTCTACCATAAGAACCGCCTTATACTGGTAAGTTGTAAACCGCCTTTAAGAAGTTTTTTTATTTTTTTATTTGCTTCTTGTGTATGCACCAATTCCGTGCGCAAGAGCATTTGCAATCATGTTTCAAGATGTGGCACGTAAGGTCAGGGGTCCCTTTCTGTGGAATGCTCTTGATCCTAGAAGATAGCTTACCCATTCCTCTGTGAATAGACTGTATTATTAGAATTGACAAAGTATTGGTCGGAATCTCTTTCAGCTCTTTAAACTAATGGCTCATGCTGGACATTTATCCCAATGGTATGTTAATGGCCTCCATTTTCCTTGTGAAGCATTCATATCCTTCATGAACTTTTAATTCTGAAGAACTTACCTTTATAATTACTGTGAATGAAATGTTTTCCTGTCTTGAAATTGAATTGTGCTCCCTACTGCCAAGGAAGTTTTAATTTGAAGAATCACATTCATCTAGAACTGCAGCATTATATCCTCCAAAACAGAAAAAAGCAACATCAGAGGTTGAAGAGAAGTGTTTCCTCTTTTTTTTTGGTCAGTTTATGATAGCATATCGAATTTGTATTTCTTCTTTGCAGCCATTTTGGGAAGTTGCCCCTTATAGCAAGAATGGAGGAAGAGGCGTTGTTGGTACTTTCTCTGGAGCACATACTTAGTGAAATGGTAATACATAATGTTAATGCATGAGATTTTGATTGTTAAAATGTTCTTTAGGGGTCTTGGAAGCAAACTTTGCTGAGCCTATTCATAACAAACAAGATTTTGAGAGGACTTCCCTCTTCCAAAGGCTTGAAACACGCTTGAAGAACATGGCATGGGAATACTGGTGGGTATTTAGTTGTTGATCCCCGGCTTATGTGGTAATGATATTGGTGGCATTTCATAATATCTTATGTTTCCTTTTCTTTTTACTATTTGTACTTGTGCATTTTCCCATAGCCTTTGGTCTCCAGACTTTGAGTGTGGGTTTCTTTGATCTTGCTTCAGAAATTGCCCTTGAATTTTTGTTATTCTGCTATTCATCTGGGATTTATAGCTTCAACAATTAATAAGCAAAGGTAGCATCACTCTACAATCATATGAAGGGATCATCCGCCAGGGTGTATGACATTATAAATCAAAGGCCTTTATGTCTTATGTCTGCTTATTTAGCTGTTGACAAATTGTTGCCAATTGATGCATGTTCTTGAATAATTTGTAGGGATAATCACTGTGGACTTATAGGATATCATGTCAACCACAGTAAGAAACCCCCTGTGTCGTCACTGCAATCGCCATATGATCTTCCTAGAAGTGCTAGGTTCGAACCTGTAGTATTGGATAATACTACAATGTCAGATTCAGCCAATGATGATGATCCTGCTGTTGGTTTACTCGTTGGATCTGTATCTCAAAGAAAAGGCCAACACCGAGGTAAATACTTTTTGACAGCTGGATCAGATTTGTTTTTATTGCCAACATGTTTAATATATCATTTTCCCATGTTTATGCCTCGCAGATTCTACAGGAACAAAAAATCCCCTCTCGTCTGCTCTTACAAGTACACAGATTAGCTTAACACCTGAGGCTAATAACATGGAGAACTTCACCAATGTCCAGGTTATGTCAGATTATGGCCAAAACTCATTTAATTAGTTACTCTGGCTAGAATTCAAGGCTTTGTGCTTTTATCTTTTAGTTATGTGATCATCTTAACTGAACCTGTAAACAATTGTACTATGTAGCAGAAAATGCTGGATACACTTTTCCTTCTGAAATCTCACTAAGCACTCTCATCTCATGTTTCCTTGTGTTTTTCCGTGTTTGATTGTTTACAGCGATTAATCTTGTCAGTAGGTGTTCATCCTCTGTTTGATAATATGGCACCTTTAAACAAATGGGGAGAAAAAAATACAAGGAAATTGGGGGTAGCTAACTTTGATGTTGTATGGTTATCCGTGCTTCTGACCAACTCACCTTTCTTGCAGGAGTTGCTGCTTCGTACTTCTGGAGAAAATGAGCAGAGAAAACAGGAAGCTGTGTTGATGATACAGGAGAATAAGGAACTTCTGTCAAAGTAAGTTGTTTAGAAATCAAAATAATAATAATAAAAAAAAAAATATATAAAAAAAGAAAAAAAAAACATGGAGGTATATATGTGGTGCAGTTAACATAATTCAGAGGAATGGAAGTTTCTTCTTGTGTCTTCTTTACACTTTTAGAAGTCTTAAATCTGTTGTCATTCCTTATTTTATTTTCTGATTTGGTTGGTTTACATTTCAGATGCTTAGATTTTGCGAATAGAGAGAAAGAACTTATTCAGAAGGTATGCTCTATGACTAATAATATGGTATTAGCAAGTCAGTATCTCATTGATTCATGAAGATGGAGACAACTACAGTCGTGAGGAGAGTATCTTTGGACATTTGGCATTGTTTGAAACAGTTTAGGAGATATATTAGTCTCTTAACATAGTCTAGATTTCCAAATAAACTTCTAAAGTGTTGCTTCGATATAAGTTGGTAACTGAAAATATATGCTGCACAGAGATAGATAGGATTATTTAGGTCGCTTTAGTATCGTATCCCATGTGCATGGGTTTACCACAACTTCAGTGAACATGAACATTATATGTATTTACAAATTATTTTTGATAAAACCATAATTCGTTACAATATTTACTTAATTCATGCAGGTTTCACTGCTTAAAAAGGAGATTGAAGAAGAAAGAAACAGATATGGCAGGATGTTGAGCGAACTGCCAAAGCTTAGAACTCTCTAGCTAGCAGAAAGTATGTATACATTCCTTTTTTTTTTTTTGTTTGTTTTTGAATCGCTAAGGCTAATCTGTCTTTTATGTCTATACATAAGAATACAGAGAATATCACCCTAAATAGTTCATTTATGTGAAGAGTTTCCCGTCACAGGTAATTCCAAAACCAATCAATTTTAACTAATCCATTTACCTCTTTATGACCTCTTTTTTCCTTTAATACTGTCATTTTGTATACATGTTCATCTATGCTTACAAAGGTTCCAAATTCCCTTTGCAGGTGACATCCGAACGATGCTGGTTAGCTTGTGCAGTTGCTGGAGCTAGGCATTTTTTGAAGTTCACTTCTGAGTAGTTATATTACTTATATGTCTTGTTCTCAGCATACAGTGTGGTCTGGTTTCCCATTTTTGTGTCTATGCTTCTAGTGACTATTAAGGCCTTTTTTTTCACTAGTAGAAGTTTAAGGTTTTGGACTTTTGGTTAATTTGGCTTTTCATATGAACTATGAAAATCTCTGTTTATTGTGTTTATTGGTTAACCAGGAAAAAAAAATGCTACCTTTTATACATATACTACTAGATTTCCTTTTTTTTGGTTGGTGGTATAGCGGATTGTTTTGTGTTTATTGGTTAACCAGGAAAAATTATGTAGCTTTGTACCTGATGTGGAAAACATGGAAAGCAATTAGATACTCCATCAAATGTTTGGAGGAACATATTGGTTTATGCCTTTACAACACATTGAATTAGTAATGTGACAACTAAATCTGGATGGGTGCAGCAGGTCAGCAGATTGTACATATTCTCTCATGTAAAAACAAATGTTGATTTCAACTTGTAAGTCAAATTTAATAAATGATAAGAAATGACTAATTTGCTTTTCATTTAATAGATAACCATGAGGACTTGGAATTCATAGGATTTATAACGAGGAAGTATATAGAGTTGAAGAATACTTTCTCCGTTCTAAAATACTCGCAATACTTGTGTTTGTGTTAGGAAGATTATGAATTGTATTTAGAAATTAACTGAATATACTAATGTGCAAGCAAAGTTAATGGGAGGTACTTTTGTTTATGTGAATAAATATAAAAATAGTGCAAGTGAAATTAATAAGAGTGAAACAATCAAAAGCTTGTGCAAATAGAGTTCGTAGGAGAGAAACAATGGATATAATGAAGTGTTCAAGTATTCGAATATGAACGAAAAAAAACAAGTGTTATAATGATCTAAGATGGCATTAGCAAGGCCAATCGGAAGCACAGCACAACTCAGCAAGAGAAAAACGTGGGACAACAAGGGCATAGTGTAGGCAGTGCACCACACAGTATGTTATTGTGTAAGTATGTATCAGGTCGTGGACCAAGCTTGGGTCGCCTTTATTTGAGAAAAACATGACAAGGCATAACACAATCGCAACGTGACAAAGCACACTAAAATCAACAAAATGTGATTTGGTCACGCAAACTCGGCATATTGATATTTGAGCCTGGGCCTTGCATGGACCGAACTTTTGAATATTTTGGCACAACACACAGCTCATGAGCCAGGTCTAGCTAACCCTTAAACATACGGGCTCGACATGAAACACGATCCGACATAGCCCACAACCATCTTTACAACTATCTAGTGACGAACTGACAACGGAGTAGCTGAGTAAGCATCCACGTATGAATAACATTATTTCCCCGTGCTCTAAAGCCTAGACTCTCCAATCTAGATGCATTGTTGACCCAAGCGGTTGTGCATGTATGACAAGTTTATCAACAATTAATATCCACGCAAATTAGGCAATACAACTTGCCATTTTAGTAAATATAAATAATACATGCAACTTGCCATTTCCTATATTTAATTATTTTTGGCCATCAAATGCTATGCTGGCAATGCTGCCCGTAATTACAACTTACCATTATCCCAAGATTTCTTACTGCCCGCTGCCCAAAACCCTTGCTAGAAGATTTTAGGCCTCACTTTGAATCTTCTATATATTCTCTACATCTTTTTCTTAATCTCTTGCACCATTTCCTCTTAAACTTCTTCTCTCTTCTACATTTTGCTAACTCTTTCTTATATAGTTAAGCTTACTACATTAATGGGGTCTTATTCAGGGTTGTTTTCATGTTTTTTTTTCAATGTATAGAAAGTCACAAAGGAAAGTGATGTAGTGGATAACAGTCTAATCCGGTAGACTAGAGACTAGTTATTGTTTGATTATTTTTTTTTTCATTTTTTTTTTCAAATATAATTAGTATTATTCATGTTAATACACATGATGTGCAAATGACTTCCATCCGAATGCTCTAAAAATATAGATGAGCATAGCGGCCATATGCTTGCACATATTAAGGTATGAGAAGCACATATTATAATGTTCTTTTTTTGCTCTTTCTAAGTTGTTTGTTGCAATCTAATTGCACCAATGCTCTTGGAGATTAGAGCATACATTTTTTTTCACCAATAAATCACAAAGTGTGATGATATTTTGGAAGTTTTACAAGTTTTTCGATCCTTTTTTTTTGTTTTGAGTTCGGACATAAACGTGAATAAGTGTATTAATCTTTTTGGTTTTTTTGTTTTTCAAAATTTTCTATTAATTTTATTTATTATGGATTTATATTATAAATAAATAATGGTATATATATATTTTATCTTCACTATTTTAAATAAATTACTACTCTTTACGATCTGTTCTTTTATGTTTTTCCTACTTGAAATTATTTGAAGAGAGAACCTTTGACCATATGTGATTTGATTATCATTTCGAGTTAGTTTTGAAAATTAAAATATTAGTTTTTCATGATTTTTATCTATGTATAGCTAAATTCCTATTTGTAGTAAAAAAACATGCATTAAAAAACTGGTCTAATGGAACAAACATTAAGGGAGGGAAGGAGTAATAATTTTTTGAGACAAATGTGAAAGAACATGCTAGGATGTATTTCATTAGCAATTTAGCACCAAGCAAATTGCCAAGAAGAAATTGACATACCAATAGAATATTCTTGCGCATATTCTATTGGTGGCGGTAGTTGGACTTGGACCATTAAATCCCAACAGTTCATTTTGTTAATGGGTTTGGGCTTGAGTTATTGGGTCAAGAACTTGGGGATTAGGTCATCCAAATTTTATTTTATTTTGAAATAAAATTGATTCTTAAATAAATTAGGTCATCCAATATAATTTTGTGCTACCTTGCTTTTTCAAAAATTAAATAAAATTTGTGACGTGCTCTTCAGTAAAGTTATGGGCGTAAATGTACATATTTGACCGTTAATATGATACCATTAAAATATAAAATAAATAGAAAAAATTGACCAATGACAATTAGACCAAGTTCAACGGAGATCATTTTGCATAAGGAAAACCTTGAAAATTGGGTTCAAACTTGATTTTAGAGACTCAACTCATCTCCTAAACCATCAGACCGTGTACTCATACTCTATTACTCCATAAAATAGTTGATATTAGCCTATTGGGCATTACTGTCTAAACTCAATTGTATCTTGACAAATATTACTAGCGAACATGAATTGACGTAAACATAGTATACTTTAATTCGAAACATGATTATATTATTTGTCCTTCATGATTTTTTACACCCAAAAATATGATTTGAGCCAACCAGAAAAGAATATATTGCTATACACTAATACACATTACACTTATAAGACTTTGTTTAACTTATATACTAACGCAACTAGCTAGACATGTAAAATAAGTGCCTAGTCAAGTTTGCATAAATCTTTTGGCAACTCCCTCAAATTTTCTCAACCACCTAAAACTAAATTTTGAAAACTATGTGCCTAGGTAATCACATCAGGGACATTAAGATCATAGTAAGATATATTATGAAACATGAAATGTAACTTGTCTATTGAATCAATTAAAGACCAAAGATCAAACACTAAATCATTCACGGGTTCAAGTTTTATACAAACTTTTATACAAACTAAGACTAGGCCGATTTAAATTGATTTTAGACTTCTCTATAATTTAATATTTTTAATGATGATATAAGGTTTTGATTGATAGATATAAAGACCAACGATGTTCACAAATAATTGTTCTTGTATTCGTATCTAAGATGCTCATGGTAAATCTTCTTGCTACTTAAATTGGATTTTAACTTTGGACGGATTAAGATCACACTACATGTGATTCTGACCTACTAATTTTCTATTTCAACCTATAAGTAATTCCTAATAGGAAAATTATGTGGACAAACAATTCCTACACATCAAAGCACCTAACTTCAAAAGATTGTTTCAGATTTTTAAAATTTACTCCGTCAGTTCCTATTTTTTTACCCCATTTAACTGTGCACAGTATCCAACACGCGTTTTAAAACGTCTATATCTTTATTATCATACACATAAAAATTATAAAAACGTAATATTAATAAAACCACTTAGACTATATTATCTTTTATAGATTGTCTATAATTTATGATTAAAATTTTTAAAATTTGACCATAAAGATAGCATTATGGCAGAATTTAAAGATCGTGTTTACTTAATAATGGATTGACATAGATTTATAACCCACAGATAAAGCTTTGAAATGTGAATTGGTGGGGTGCGCCAGGCCCGTGCAGTAGTGCAACGCATGGGCGACACTTGAAGACCCCAGTAGCAAGCTACTGTGGTGGGACTTCCCCCTTAAAAAATAAATTTAATATCGTTGTGGGCCATTGGCCCACGTATCAGATATTAAACTGATAAGAACAGATACTACACTTGATCTTAGCCAAAAGGCCGAGAAAGGTATGATCTGCTCAGAGCACGGACCAATCTTTTTATTCTAGTTCTCTGTCTCTTATTGCTCTAACTGTCTGATGTGGGACTCTATACATTATACCTTCTTTCATCCATCACTTTTATTCATCTCAATGATCTGGTTATGATCAAACCTATACGTAATCGCAGAAAAACAAACATTTGGATATCCACCAAACTAAAATTAAATTTACACATCTCTACAAACTTAGACTCTAAAATCAATAGCTACAATTTTCGCCTCAGCGCGAAACTTACATGTATAATAGAGGATAAAGGGACTTTATACATCTCAAACAAAAAGCACAAAAAGGAATTCAAACTGATTGATGTTCATTTCTTGAGCTGGTTATCTGGTGAAGGAGTCATGTTCTTGGAGTTCATTTTGCAATATCCTCCTTTCTTTTTTTCGTCCCCGTAACACACCCACTTCTCTTCATCTTGCCCCTTATTTTCATTCCCAAACCCATCATTGTTAGAAACAGAAACTTGCCTCCAAACAGTCCATATTCTCAACATGATATAAATCATTAGCAAGCATATAACGGCTGAAGTAAAAACGATAGCGACAATGATTGCAATAACTTCACCCTTAGGCAGCCATTTCCTAGATGAGCTCGAGCAAGACACTAACGGCGCCCCACATAGCCTCTTGTTTCCCACAAAGGCGCTAACTGGGAAGGATGAGAATGCAGATGGGAGTTTCCCTTGGAGAAGGTTATGTGAAAGGTCGAGTCTGTGAAGGCTAGAGAGCTTTCCTAGTGAGGAAGGCACTCGCCCTTGAAGACGGTTATTTGAGAGGTTCAGTCGCTCGAGTTTCATGAGATTTCCAAGTGACTGAGGAATCTCCCCTGACAACTGATTATGACTCAGGTCTAATATCACTTGAAGTTCAGTAAGCTGTTCTAGCTCATCAGGTATTTCACCTGTCAAGAAGTTGTCAGAGAGCCGAAGCTCGAATAGCTTCTGAAGATGCTGGATTTCTGAAGGAATGTTTCCAGATAAGTTGTTGCCCTGCAGATTAAGGACATTAAGAGATGACAGGTTTCCTAATTCTGGAGGTATTTGGCCAGACAACTTGTTGGTATGAAGAGAGAGTTTGAGTAATGCAGAACAGTTTCCAAGCTCTTTTGGTATTGTTCCACTGAAATCATTAGAAGACAGATCAAGCTCTCCTAACCCTTTCAGACTCCCTAACCAAGCAGGAAATTTTCCGGAAAACTGGTTATCGTTCAGCATAAGATGCTCGAGTTTTGTGGAGTTGGATAGACTAACAGCTAGCTCTCCTGACAAACTGTTGGAAGATAAATCAAGGAAAATAAGCTCTTTAAGAAGGGAAAACTCAAGAGGAATATTTCCTGTGAGAGTGTTTCCTGCAAGGCGAACACGGATGAGGTTTTTGGACAAGGCTAGCCTAGAAGGGATTGAACCAGAGAAGCTATTATTAGTCAAGTCTAATACTGTAAGAGAGGTTGAACCTGTTAGTGGATAGATACTTCCATTTAGCTTATTATGGGATAAGTTGATGATTTTAAGGTTCTTTAAAAGGAATAGAGATTCGGGTAAAGGGCCTTCAAGAGAGTTATTATAAAGGGTGATGAGACTTAGCTCTGACAAAGAACTGAATGTTGATGGGATTGACCCGGATAATTTGTTATCTGCTAAGGCCAACATTTCGAGCTTTGCGCAGTCACCCAAGGAAGGAGGAATTTTCCCTGATAACTCATTTTGCCTCAAGTGAAGCAAAATTAAGTTTTTAAGCATCCCGATTGTATCAGGAATCGAGCCAGAAAAATGGTTTCCGAAGAAATCAATCTCTGTGAGGCTAGTACAGTTTGTCAATTCTTTCGGAATGTTACCTGACATGTGGTTATCATACAGGTAGATGACACTTAACTTATTGAGCTTCCCTATTTCTGCCGGAATTTCTCCTGTGATCCCATTGCCATACAAGGAAAGGAACTTCAGGTTACTCAAGTTGCCAATCTCAGGAGGTAGCTTCCCACTGAAGCTGTTGTTGTTAAGATAAAGATCGGTGAGGTATGCCAGTTTATCAATCTCAGACGGTAACTCCCCTAGGAATTTGTTGTCAGAAAGGTCTAACTGTTTGAGAGAAAAACAGCTCAACAACTCCAAGGGAAATTTTCCCGAGAAACCATTTCTTGCAAGAGAAAACATCTGCAACTTTGAATCATTCATGCAGAAGCTTGCTGGAATGTCACCAGCTAGATGATTATCCGAGAGGACAAGAACCTCGAGGTTCTTCATTTTTGAAGTGAAGAGGTTGAGAGATCCTGAGAGATTATTTCCTGATAAGTCTAGCTTTTGTAGCTGACTCAACAGGTTAAGTTCCGAGGGGATAGCACCACTTAATCTGTTTCCGAGCAGATTCAAGTAATTCAGTTCTTGCAAACTTCCCAGCTCTGTAGGAATCTTTCCAGAAAAACTATTGTTGGCTAAGTTAAGGACTTGTAATGAATGAAGCTTACCAATTGATGCAGGTATATCTCCTTGGAGCATGTTGTTGGAGGCTGCAAAAATCTGTAGCTTCTCACATCCACCAATCTCACTTGGAATTGGGCTTGTGAGAGCGTTCTGTTGCAAATCAAGAGACTCCAAGTTCTTCAAGTTTCCTATCTCAGACGGGACACTTCCATTCAACAGGCAATAAGAAATGCCTAGAACTTTCAGTTCAGTCAAGTTGCCAATACTTTTGGGGATCTCCCCACTAAGCAAGTTGTCCCCTATCCTAAGAACCTCCAACTTTGGAAGAAAACCGAGCTCATGAGGAATCTTGCCAGAGAGAGAGTTAGTGTATAGGAGGAGCTCTCTTAGATTCTCAAGCTGGCCAAGCTCTCCAGGAATAGGGCCAGAGAGAGAATTCATTGACAAGTCGAGAGTCTGAAGAGAAGATAGATGTGAAAAATCAGGTGATATAACACCAGAAAGCCCGGAACTTGAGAGGTTCATGCCTATAACATGAGCTTGATCAAGTGAACATGTAAGACCATTCCAGCTGCAGATACTTGTTGCAGAAGACCAGTTGCTGAGAGCATTATCAGGATCAACAAAACTCGATTTGATCCTTAAAAGCCAATAAGAATCACCCAAACTCTCAGCCGAGGTGTTAGAAAGAAAAATACTAAAGATGACACAGAAAAAAATCATCAGATGAGACATCTTAATGATGTCCATATATAGGGGTTATGCTTTCAGAGCTATTACAGCTGAAAATTTTGCATTATATAGCTCTTAGAAGGATGAAACAGTGGCTAAAAATGGAAAGCAATCGATTTCGGATTATAAGTAAGATGATGAAGGCTCTAAGAGAAGGTATATGTAGTTATATATGCATTGAGGTCATTGCACTGAAATTGAGAGAGGCTTTAAAAGAATTTTTTTGGTTGTTTAAGAATATGGGGTAAGTAGGTTCAGTTTTATTCTTCTGTCATGTTGGAATTTTGTCCATGCATTTATCTGAAAGTCATAAAAATCATGAAAAGAAGTATGGAGTTTTAGGATAGGAATATGCTTATTGTTTAAACATATAAAAAGAGAGTTTAAAGGCCCACTCTAAAACCTAAAGAAGGAATGTGATGTTTCTATAATTAATCATATAACATGTATTTCTTCTAGTTTATGATTACAAAAGTATTTGCCTTGATAAGATTCCATTAACAAAAAAAATTAACATAAATAATGATTTGACTTTAAATGAAATGAGGTCATTTTAAGATCAAACATAGTCAAAACTGAATTATTATAAAGTTGTAAATATATCTTTCAAGCATAATACTACAAAGGAGTAGGATGATTAATTATTAAAACCATGAAAAGTTTGACTTCTGTTGAGTTTTATAGATCTAACCAAAAAATTTATTCTCCTCAACCTCAACTAATACCCACCTAATACCATTTTTAAAAAGGGGGCAAAATCACAGAGAAAATAGTAACCACTTTCAATTTTCATGTTTAAGACAGTTTTATTCATAATAAAAGCCATAGACCATGTGAAGTGTGAAGATAATTTGTTCCAAGTAGTAGAGAAACATGTTTGTTTGGTCCAACCAAGAGATACAAATTCAGTAGGTTAGAAGAGAATTTTTTTATACCAGTTGCATAAAAATCAAATTAGGTGATTTCTCGATTTTCACGTGAATTTATCTAAACTTAACTTATTGGACTTGATTAGCCTTGATTTTCACCTTATGTAATTGTAGTTGGCAGATCATACCATGAGACGGATAATTTCACCCTTTTTGTCAAAAAAAACAAAAAAAGAAAGAAAAAAAAAAAGAACCTAGAAGTCACCCTATAATATTACAACTTGACAAGTCAAAATGATTATCGCCCAATCACTCGAATCACTCCCACTTTTGAATAAAAGTCACCCTTGTCTTACCATACAATTATACGACTGTTATTACTAATAAAATTTAAGGTCGGTGTGGTTGACTTGATTATGAGGCAGTTTGAAGCTCCCCTGCTCTTCAAAAATTGGACAATATATAATCTTCAAACATTAAAAATTAGGTTTCAATGGATTAAGAAATGAAACTATGGTAATTTAGGTGTATAATACACATAGACTTATTATAAATATGAAAATTATACTCGACCATAGTTGAGACAAATCAGAAAATACCAAAGATTATAATCATTGAGTTAACAAAATAAATTATCCTCAAATGGTTTCTGCCAAACACCTTTTGACACAATTATGTCAATGATCTGGACCTCTATCATATTTATATTAAGAGATTCTGATTTATGTAACTACTCTGAATATCACCAATTCATTGTTATTCCTCTATCTGAAGAATACAAGGGAGTATAAACAAATTAGCACCAACCAGTGTTTTTTTTAATTCCAATGTATTGACTATGTTATAAAAGTTTGGGATTAATTTTTTGGGTTGAATTAGGATTTATATAATAATTTTATATAGCATAATGCAGTCAATGTGTAGGTCATGAATTAGGGAAGATGTTAACTGCAAGTAGTTGCAGAACCTGTGAGTGCAATCAGTTTTTATATCCTACATCAGAGGAGGGTGAAAATGTGACACTTGACACGAGTTTTCATTGTCTTATGATGTTTGAACTTCGAGTCGTAGGAAGATTTTCACAATCCGCGCCTTCCTGTCCAGCAGACAGTTTGTGCTTATTAGTAATGATGCAAAGTGATTTCTCAGGGGGAAAAAAAAATGAGGTAGTTTTTCAATAGAACTAAGAAAACAAATACAGAAATAACTGATTAGCAGGCTTAACTTTTTGGAGTTCTGTATTCCTGTTCATAGTATATAAGAAGCTTAAGCACTCTCTGAAGTCTGAACTATATTCAGCATGATTTTCAGACTTTAGGTTAATTAACAGGCTTAAGTTATGCATTTGGTGAAAGAAGACACGTTTCTTGTGTTGATCGTTCCTCAAATTATCGAGGAATTTTGCATTTATACATTAAAGCACAGAGGAATAAAAATTAATTAGGACGGTAATTTCCTAAGGGAGCAAAATAGAAAGTATATAATAACAGTTAAAAGCGACATGGGGGTAGTATTTCACATGTATCATCATCATACTGGAAGAAGCACAGCTACAACACACAATGTGCCCTATGTGGGAGAAAAGGTCCAATGCCAATTATGCCTTTGTATCATCATAAGTATTATGCCAGTGCCTATATAATTGCATTATTCATAAGGCCTAACTTTGAAATACATGTTATCATCATATCATAGTGCTCCCTAAAGAGAAGCAAATTTTAGGTACAACGTACTAGTGAGCCTTCAGAAATATCTACCCATGCCTATCAGGAGTTCCAAACATGAACACACAGCAAGCGTGATAAAAACAATCACAGTTCGGTAAATATGAAGCATTATGGGAGATCAGAGGCTGAGGAAGCACCATGAGAAAAAATGAACATAAAGATCCATAATTTGATCCTGCAGAAAACTTAGTAGTAAAGAATAAAGAATGTATGTTTCATAGTGTTGAGTATAAAACCCAGTAATTTATAACAACTTAACAAGGTAATTATACAAACAATGTTACAATCCCTTTCATTTTCCTCTTTTTCTAATTTTGGAGTGTTCGGCGGAGTAATGCAGCAGCATATAAAGCTGTCGTAATGAATATACTAAACCCTATTACTTCCTATCTCAAGTAATTTATCTAAGCTCAAATCTTAGGCATGATCTGCGCATAATGCTGTAATTTAAAAAATTTGAACCAGCTTCTCCCCATTGATATCTAGGCATTTTCAAGCTAATGACAGGCTGCAGGGCTGTAAGCTCAAATCATGCATTGCAAATCTTTATTTCAGGGGTACCTCATTGCTCCAAAATGGAAGATGGAAAAAACCTCATAAGAAAGCTAGAGAGAGACCAAATGCAGATGAGGCCAAGAATTTGGAGGACACTCAACAGAGTGCCCAAGGAATTATTAATGGCCAAGTTGTGTGCAGTCATCTCCGCTCCTCTTACTGTGAAAGATAGAGCAGTTACCAGTTGTGCAGCTCGATTTAGTTGATGTAATCTATACACCTGTTAGATATCATTCTGCTAATCGTCAGTCCCCCAAAAGAACAAAGGGAAAAAATTGAACAAAAGAAATTACAAGAATTAAAAATTGAACAAAAGAAATTACAAGAATTTATACAGTTGTAAATTTGTAATGTGCTGCAAAATTATATGAATCCCCAAGTCACTAGAAATCTACCTCCTGCTGGGGCTCTAAATCATCTTAGCATGAAACATGAACCATATATCTTTTACAAATAATTCCTCCATAACACCAATAAACTCACAGATACATAACTAAGGTAAATTTGTCTCCTAAAAAAAAATTTAAAAAAAGGGGGAAACTGAGGGAAGAATATTAGTTTATGTTAATGGATAGAGTACTTCACCTGAAACACAACTGGAATGACAGGCCAAGAAGGTGATTTTGTATATTTTGCATACTGCTCGAATGCGAACTGTACAACAATACCAACCAAGTAGGGAGCTAGTGCAGCAGATGCTGCAGGTCCCGTCCAAGGCCAAACAAAACCCATAGTCACCATTGGAATAATAAGACTAAGCATTAGAATAGCAACTGAAGAAATCCGATGTCCCATCTGGGTGGTTAGCTTTCCATAGCTGCTGGTAGCAGGAACTTTGTTACCAGGGCTCCAAAGAAAGTGAATAAGAAGGAAAACTGCAACCCCGCAGTAGAAGAGAGCCTCCGTGAAAAATAGTATGAGGAAATCTGCAAGAAAGAGATGAAGAGAACTAAATAGTGTACCAGATGAGCATAAAGAGAAATATTGGCTGGTTCACAATACAAATATCTAGACGGAGAACTAAAAAAGTGTAGTGAATAGTTTCAGGACAAGTGAATATTGCAAGTAACAGAAAGAGCTGCTCACAAACTTCCATAATAATCTTGGATATAATGATATACTAGTCATGCAAGATTTTGTGAATCCAAACTTCAGAGTTAAATGCAGAAGCAACTCAATGCATAGTAATGCTAGTGAAGATTTATAGGTATCTCGGAATCATAACATGAACTGGTTATTCAAAAGCTGTATCTCAACATATTAGCAGAGATTAGTAGTTGTTGCTCCCTGTCACCTTCAGAATTGGTTTCTCTTTGTTATAGTAACATGATTAGATTTCCCATTTAATGGTTGTTTCTGTAATACACATGACATCAAGTAGTTAACATGTAAAGCAGATGTCACCTTCATCTATAAAAATTGGGCTTAAATACAAGAAGATTTCAAATCAGCATCTCACCTGTCAAGAGGGAATCTTCAAAGATTAAAGATATTATCCTGCGCAAATATAGTGATGGAAGAATGAATGAGGCTACAAGAACAGCAGGGCCAGCGAACCATAAAAGGCTGTTCTGATTCTTCTTCACACTTGGTGAAGGAACTACATTCTCTTTTGCACTCTGAAGACTATAAAATGAGACAAATCCAGGTTTACCGCCACTTCCCTCAGATTGCTCATATGAAACAGTAGGTGAGACGCCTTCATCATCCACATTACCGTCTAAGTCTAAGGGTAACTCTTCTGTCCCCGAACCACTCAACTCGATCACTTCTTCTGGAAAAAAATCTTCAGATACAACAGGAAAACAATTTTTCCTCTGAAGCTGTTCTGTGGATTTAAGCATCCCAAACCTGCACGTCCATGGCTTTGCTGCTAGACAGAACAGAAAGAAAGATGATAGGAAAGAGTTAGAGTAATGCTTGAAAGAAAATTTCTCATTAATTTTACCATCACACTGGATCAAGGAAGGTCACCTTCAAACAATTATAAAAAAAATAAATAAATAAATAAAAAGTCTTATTTAGAGCACAAAATGATGATAGAAAGCTAAACCATGGTTCACTTAAGACAAGCCACTGCTAGAACTTAGAAGTTTTATATGCAAGCTTGGGTCTTTCAAAACAACTTGGATGCTCCTAAGATTGAACGATCATTCTATGTTGGCTGAGGTTGTAGAATGTGGTCTTTTCTTAAGTGATTGACAGATCATTAATAGTCTCAGGCAGTCAGGCCTAAAGCTATCATATGTTTCCCAGTGAGCCATTATG